CAAATAAGCCGAATGATTAAACAATGTACGGTGCATCATAATATTGATGATGGCACTACCCACAAAGTAACAAAAGTTGCTGGACCTTTCTGTGAGTATATTTTACTATATTATTACTGTATTATATAAATGTTGAAAATGTGTTACCCGAGTAAAACAATAATATTTATTTTAGATAAAGAAAGTCAAGCTAGAAAAACCAGTAAAGTATGGTCTGAGCAGTCATCTGGAGAAAGTGAAGAAGATTCACCTCCAAAAAAACTAAAATGTGTATCAAAAGATGTTGAAGAACATATTTTAGAGTTGCCAAAAGTKCCAATATTTCCAATTTGTAACTCAAGTAAATATATTTTTATATACTCAAACAAAAATTATATTTTTGCATTGGACTATTGCAAAGTAATAGTAGTGGTATATTTTATACTATATTATTATTGTATTATATAAATGTTTAAAATGTATTACTCGAGTAAAACAATAATATTTATTTTAGATAAAGAAAATCAAGCTAGAAAAACCAGTAAATTATGGTCTGAGCAGTCATTTGGAGAAAGTGAAGAAGATTCACCTCCAAAGAAACTAAAAGATGTTGAAGTACATACTTTAGAGTTGCCAAAAGTACCAATATTTCCAATTTCTAACTCAAGTAAATATATTTTTCATACTCAAACAAAAATTATATTTTTTTATTAGACTATTATGTTAAGTCCTAGTATAATGGTATTTATTTTTATTTTAGCTGATTTAGATTTGACAATTATTAATAAACAACGTGATATTCCAWGTACAAGTTATCATACAAGCCATGATGGTGATCATACACTCATTGACAATGGAATTTCTATAAATGATGAAGACAATTTGATGAAAACAATAAATTCAAATAGTTCAAGTATGTATAATACTATCACTTTAATCGAGACTTTAATGCAAGGCTGGGCATAAACAAGTTAAAAAGTTAATTTGATTTAAATTTTTTAATTAACTTATTAGTTTGTATTATAAGAAACAAATTAAGTTAATTTATTTAGTTTTGTTTTTAATTTTTACATTTTACTACTTCAGTATATTTCGTTTTCATGTAAACATATTTACCATGAATTGTTTAAAG